CAAAAATGGTCCGGGTAAATTTTACCCTGGTGTGGTAGTCTAGGGTTAATAAAAACTTGGTGGATACATCTTTTGTAAATGATGAGTTAATGTAAATTATCGAAGATAATAAGAAAAATTTATTTTTAAATATGATAAAATGTTATTAAGTTTAAACAATTAAGTAAAAACAAGTTTCTCGTTTAAAAAAAAATCAGAATTACAATTTGGAGTATAAGAATATTGAATAATTATGATAGTAATAATTTTTTAATAATAAAATTAATTTACGTTGTGTTATATTCAAATATAAACATATTCGACAAACACTGCTAATTATTGCACAAATATTCTAACTAAAGAGATCAAGGTTTTTTTTAAATGATAAAGGGAATATGAGATCTCAAGTTATAATTTACATATCTTTTATAAAAACAAGTGACAGGGGCAATAACGATTTTTCAACGTTTGGCATATTTTATGCATACAATTCTTCGTATCAGCACATTTTTATAATTAAAAAAACGTAGATGTCAAATTACACTTTTGTAAATATATCTAAAAGTATATATTTTTTAAACAAATTATTTGCAGTATAATTGAAACAACTTCACAGTAGCTTTATGGAAATGTTTTATATTGTTCAAGTGAGATGGAATACTGATTATAGTAGGCCGTATGTTAATCGATGTATACGGTATGTTTCCGGTGGAAACGTTCTGAAAATGGAAGAAAAGGATCCATTTTCATCGTTGTTTTGCACACTTTGCTCGAGAGTAATCTCATTAACGGCTCTACATTCGGTTAATTTATAAAATATAGACTGCTACACTGTTCATTAATTATATCATTTTGTTAAAGCGGTGTTCAACATTCAGATAATTACATCATATATATATATATATATATATATATATATATACATATATTAAAACTCCCCTCCTCTTTACATATATTTCATAAAATTATTTAAATTATTTTATCGCAGGCCTACATTGTTTAGTTAAATGACAGTATAACGCATGCAATAGTATTGGATGATGATCATTATTTGTATATTAAAATAATCTGCTATACCTTTACAAGATTAGTATTGAAATTCCACATGCAATGAAAGTGCAATAAGGCAACTGCGATGGGTTACCATTATAAATATTTCATATCATCCAGTCATAATAAATATAATACAACTGTAGTAGCTTAGAATTATGTATCTAATAATTAGTTAATTACAAAGGCTCTCTTGAGGATATAATAATGGTCTTTCGAATGAATACAATATATATCTAGTAAATCATGTAGGAAACAGAGTGCCATAAAAATCTTGTATTTAAAGGAATTTAAAGGAACCGGTAAAAATAAACGGTTACGTTACACTCAATACGATAATAGAGAACTTTGTTATAGAAAATAATATAATTAAAAAAAAATAAATTGTTTCAATCGAATGACCTATTTATATATAACATAAATGCATAATGTTAAGCGTGTGACATTATTGATATTAATTGTTTAGAACTAATATTAAGGACCAAAGATTTGATGTTTCAGCAAGTATTGAGAGAGCTTGCAGCACAAACAATTATAAGAAACTTTTTATACGCGTCGTTAGATGAAAAGCTCATTATGTCGATGATAAGCGCCAGCGGTTATTTTAACGGTTCTCTCTTTAGCCGATCATTTTCATATCATGATTAAGGGCGCTTATCTAACTGTGATCGATTCTTATATCAGATAAAAGGAAACAATTTATTGGAAATATCTTTGATTACATTACATGCGATAGTATGCGATTTATTTTGGAAATGCGATAGAATTTTGTAATGATATGCGTGATCTCAATATATATTGTATTTGAAATATATATTTGTTTATACACAACAGTTGAATTGTTTAAACGTTTGTACGACTGACGATGATGTAAAAAGAGACGCAAGTTTTCGATATGTTAAGGTTGAAACATTAGCCGTAATGTTTAATACAATACTTATAGCGGGAGAAAGGAACTCAATGAAGAGAGATAGCTATAACGAGATGCCATGACACTAGCCTAATAAAGCGAACAATAGGCCTAAAGCCGTCGGTACCTTATTTAAGCCAGTGTATATACCATACCATTAGTTGTTTAAGGTTCAATAAATCATTATGTATACAATGCATACATATACGGACATATACATATATATATATATATATATATATATATTATATATTATTACACAAATTGTACACACATATTTATGGTTACATCTATTATTATACAATTATACAAAGGTATGTATAGTTATTGTAATATAGACATCGGATCGGAATAGAGCTAAATCTAACTCATTTGAACGTTCAATATTGTAAATCCTTTTAGTTTTTAATTTTAATAAAATCTGAAGAATTCTCTCTCAGTTAGTTATGTAAAATTTACTTATTACAAATTTTTATTCTGTAGAGAATAGATCGAAAAATAGATTCTCACATCGTTAGGCAAATCGTTTATTCCACGCTCCTCAATTAAATATATTATCAATGCAATTGTTATGATAAACACTGTTATAATTCCCTGCTTATAGTTTGTATCATTATTAGCTTAACATTCAACTTCAACATTCAACTTAGCTCAATGTTTAACGAAGTGGACGAGGAATGTTAATTTTGAGAATATAATGATCATTTTACTTTTATTTGTATCACCCTGCTAAAGCAATGATTGTTCCAACATTATTTTTTCGAAGCCCATTGGTGGAGTATGAATGAAATTTTCTAGAATTAAGTCCAAGATGGCTCCATCATCCACTGAAAGTTAAAATAATACAGATTACACATAAAAGTTAATCGTTGTATAACATGTTAGTTATTTATTAAAACAATAAACACCATATAATACTGGATAAATCCGTCCTTTTACACCTATAATTGGAGCGTTCATGGATTCTCCGTTTAAATAAAAATTCAATTCTACGTGGTCATAGGATACGCCCTAAAAAAGTTTTTGATTATTCAAATGAAATGACTGCAATAAAAAATCTTTTTAAAATAGAAGCATATATTATTTCTCTTGATTTTTCAAATTTTTGTTAACTTCTTCAAAATGTCAAAACTGAACAGCAGTGTGTACGTACAATGACATTCCCTTCCTGGACAGGATTTTGAATCTTGTGAAGTTCTTCCTCGTTGTGCCTTATAATACCATCGGAATTGAGCGCCCAACTTTCCGAGTCCTTGCCACCTATGGCGACATTGAGATCCGTATCTTTCCTAGCTAGTCCAATGCCCCATATACCGCCCTGCTGTATCTTCACTTCAAAATAACTTTTACTCTGAACGAGAGGAGCGTTTGTCAAGGCACCACCGCTCCCGCATATTCTTAGACCATTTTTCACTATTACTACCTCGTTTCCTGTATAGAATAGCATTGCAATTGTACATTATATTTTCCTGTCAAAGTATCTTTATACAAACTGAATATACATGTCTCAAAAATATCTCAGATTCACAAGTAAACTAGACACAAGTGTGTCTAAAAAATGTGCTAGCTTATCAGACATCTTATAAATAATTTCTAGAGTTTTTGCTGACATAGAATGTTATTATTGTAATGCTATTAATATTATTTTTATCTTTAATGAATATAAATACATATATACATATATATATATATATATATAAAATGTAAACAATATTTTCCAAATTTATAAGTGGAATTGGATGCAAATATTTAAAAGACTTGCTAATTTATCAAATATTTTATGGATGATTCCTGGAGCTTTTGCTATCACAAAATCAATGCTGTTAACGTTATTAATGTTACTTTTATCTTTAACGCAAGTGTTTGATATGCGTTTTGTGACAGCAAAAGCTCCAAGAATTATCCATAAAATATTTGATAAATTAGCATGTCCTTTAAATATTTTATATATATGCCTTTAATAGATACAGCAGATGTCTAGAGCTAGCTTATAGACGCAATTCTTGGAATTTTTGTTGTCACAGAATTGTCGCTGTAATGCTATTCATGTTCCTTTTTTAATGCAATGTCTGATTCACAGGTTAAAAACTTAATAATTCAGAAATTAAATATTTCCTTCAATAACAGTATTACAAGAACTGTGAAATCTTTAACAATTGCAGAAATTATTTTGCAAACATTCGTAGAAATCATAGTGAAAGGGAAGACGGAGAAGCAAAGAGATCACGATGCAAATTAGGCAACATGTCACGTCGAATTGATCGAGCCGATGCTCCTCGTCAGCGGTGACAATTACCCATGTGACTCGTGTCTAAGGCGATGGGGTTTTGTTCCCGTTTCGGTGCCTGAGTCGCGGCAAAGCCGAGGCCGTCGAAGCAGTTTCTCAGACAGCAGAACATCGTCCGCAATCGTTCTCGGGGTTTCACGTTTATAGAATCGCGTTTCAGAGATGCGGCGAACGCAACATCGTTAGATCAGGGAGAGAAATGGCCTTTTTTCCTGCTCCTCTTTTTTTCCTTTTCCGTTTGGAATGATCCGATGTTTTTGTTATTTGCCGAAAGCGGAATCCATTCGTAAACGTCCACGCATCCCAACTGGCGCAAATCCGCTCTATAGTCTATAGACGCTATTCAAGCCCACGCTGTCCACGCATAGGCAGGCCGCATGAAAATGGTCTCCTCTCTCTCTCTCTCTATCTTTCTCCGAGAAATCGCATTAGCGTGAATTATCGCGGCGGGCCCTCGTCGCGTGCCGTTCCATTATTCTGCAACTTTTCCGCGCTCTTTTTCGCCTTTAACAGCGAAAAGTTTTCCAAAAAAAAAAAAAAAACTTCAAGATCTGAAGTTCCTCAGCTTGACGTATAGTTTTAAGGTTAGATCGGATTAGGTTAGGTTAGGTTTCGTAGAGACTGCTCCGATATTCACTCTGTGCTGAAAATCTACAGTGCACGTGACGCATGCTATAGTTTTTTTTCAACACTAATAGGTGAACACATTGGAAACCAATCGTAAATGGCGATAAACAAATAGTTATGCGCGAACGTGCATACTCGACAATCGTGCGAGTCATACCTGAGCGGCAATTACAATAAATATTAGAAATATGAGAAAAATTGACAAACTTCATCACTTTTAATTTTATAAACCCAGTAAATACAGATTATAACTACAATATTGCAGCAACATTGTAGTATTTCTGTAATATATATAGCTAAAATGTTACAATGTTGCTGCAACATTGCAGTTATAATCTGTATTTACTGGGTAATTTAATTTTACCTTGTATTTAAGAAAAATATAGAGTCCAGATAATATTATACGTTAAGAGAATAATACTTGTTGCATTCAAAGAATTCAGTATTTAAGTTGATCCACGTCTCAGATCCAACATTGTTGATAAATTGAATAATTCTTAAATTAATATTATATTTTATATGCATGAAACAACAAATATTTTACCAAATTGGTATTTATTGATTTATATTATACAGAAAGGTTTATATTCGACTGGGATACAGCATCTGTAACAAAAAATGATTTGAATTAAACATCTCTGTGTTATGTACCCATGTGGATTAAGATCATCACATATGGAAAATATCCCATTTTTAACAATCGCCTTTATTTTTTTTTCAATTTTAAAAAGAAATTTTAAAAGTTGTGTAGTATAGTCTTAATATTGACAAATAATGATAAAATCAATTTGAAAAAAAAAAAATCACTTTTAAGGTCATATGAGGTGCGATTTTTTAAATAAAATTACATAATTTTTAAAAACATGATTCTTCTAATTATTCCGTACAAAAGTATTAAATAGAAGTATTAAAGAATTAAGTTTTTGAAATATTTTATATCAAAATATGTCAGAATAAAATATCTCGTGATTTAAACAAAATCGATTTTTCTCGAAAAATGATTTTGCCATTATTTATAGGAATCCCCTTTATAGGAGATCATACAACTTTTGTTTGAAACATTTTTTCTAAAATTAAAAAAATTTAGTGATTGTTTAAAACAACTTGTATAATATATGCAAACAATACATAATATGTATAATTGCAACATTTGCAGTAAATTACAGTAAAAAAAATGTGTATTCGTTTGCAAGCAATTTTTAGTTTAGTGTAAAATACAATAAATATTTATATAAAATTACATGAATTTTTTAACTTACAATCCTGATGCGATGGCCCATAGCCTTAGCCGGCAGATTCCTTTTAAACTTAGCACGTACTGATCCACTTGCACCATGAGGACGCGTCACTTTGCCCCAGATAGCCCTAACCTTAGTTTTTTTTGTAGTCTTTCCAGGTACTGGTGTCTTGTTCTTAGCCTAAAACAATTTCATATGTAAATTATCTACTGATAATCAAATCTTGCTAAACAATATTCTTAACTAATTTTTAAACTAATACTAAATCTATATTGTTATTGTAAATTCCATAAAGAAAATATTTTTAAAAAGCAAATTTTAACAATACAATTTTGTAAAAATTTTTTGTGTTTATCACTCAAGATCAAGTTTACAATGTAAAATAATTTTGTAGTAAAAAGTGTAATAAATTTAGTCTTTCAACTTTAAATTTTGAATTTAATGTTAGCTGATGTTAATTTCGTCTAAACTCTACAGTTGCGAGCCAGGTTGCTTAAAGCTTAGGGATTATGATTTAAAGCAGTGCCAGAAAGCAGTACCTTTTGTCATTGAAAAAAAGAGTAACAGTTTAGAGCGTAAAATAAAAAGGCTCGTTATACTTACAGATCGAAAACTAATTTGATTCATTTTTTCTTTCTTAGACAATATACCAAACAGGTCTTACTTTATATACATAGACGCATCGTTTTCCTACGTAGAAATCCGAATCCTTTTTAGTTCCGGCTCCTTCGATTTTGAGCAGGGCAGTATGTTCATGTTGATTGCGCAAACCGCGTTTGTAGCCGGTAAAAATTGCCTTTGCATATAGACGCCCGTGTCTCTTGAAAGGCCTCTTCCTCAGAGGCGTCTCCTCCGGAGCGCTTTCCTTCGTCTTGGCTGGTTTCGCCTTGCTCGTCATTTTCTAACAAGAATATAACTGTATAATAAAAAGCATCAACGTCACATATCTCAGTCAGCGATCTCTAACGAAAAAAAATAGAGAAAAGAAATAGAGGAAGAAAAAAAAAGAGAACAATATTTATACACCGAGTGTCACTTAATGAAGCACTATGAGGTTATGTGTGACAGAAATAACGAAGCAGAAAAAGATATTGTTAACAATTTTGTGAAATTGCCACGCGCCTAACACTCTAAATATTTATTAAACGCAATGATTAACAAGCGTGTATGCATTTCCTGCACCGCATACACATCTTGTCACAACGTGAACGCTAGATGCCACATGAAACGAATCGCGGTAATCCGCTGAAATCGCTGAAAATTAAGTGAAATATAACAAAGCGAATAGCCGCAAAGTAGCTTCACACAATATTATTCAAAGCACTTCAATTATTTTTACGAAAGATTAATTACATGTATTAAATTTTTATAATTAAATACAAGAATTCACTACTATAAAACGCACCAGACGTATACCATGAATTAAGAGAAACGGAACTTTACGTACTGGGTCTAGACACAATTAGTGCGTTCCAAAACTCTTTCAAAAAAGTGTTGCACCAGAGAATCAAGAGCTGCGTTCCGCAAAGCGCATCAATTCATGCGCATGATTTATGTTTTTATCTTTGTTTAACATTTGGTGAACAACAAGGATACCATGATCAGAGAGAAGCATGAGAGCTTTGAGTATATAAACATGGAGGGGGAATGTTGGTCCGAAACTGTGTCCAAGATGTGTGCGAGAGAGAAAGACGAGTAATATTCGTCCTCTCTGCGCATGCGTCGACGTTCGACAAACAGAGAGGACGAAGTATCACTCAGTGAGATATATAACATACTGGAGTGAGCCTTGGGGTGGTGGGGATGGCCGAACTGTGCAACAGTAGTGCGAGAATGACAGCCATGCAGCTTGGGAATATCTGCCTCACTTTAACT